AACCATATATAAATGTACACATATTCACCTATATGTAGCTGGCATCAGTCACAACAACCACATTGCTATCTTTCAGTTTTGTGGTTCTTACTTGGCTTACATGGAAAATTCATTGCCACGGTTATAAAAATAAAATCCAGATTCCTCATTATCTGAAAACTGTCATGCACTGAGTCAGTTAACTCCTCAGAGGACCTAAAGAATACTGTGATCTAGAGCAACCCGGTAGCAAACGTCATCTTGGCTGCAGCTGAGTTAAATGAAGATTATTATTCATCTTGGGTGATCCAGACAGGTAGCATATGAAAATGCATGTATTCCTAATGGTTCTACAAAAGACAGTACGTATTTGAGGTATACTGATGTTTCTAATGCAGACACTAAGATTGTATATTAGTGTGTGTGTGTGTGTGTGTGTGTGTGTGTGTGTGCGCGCGCGCGCGTGCGCAGTTTAATTTGTTTCAGGCAAACCTTTAAAGTGTACAAATTATATGATCTCCAAAAGTAGATACCTTCAGTGATCTTTTTTAATAAGTGCCTTTCAAGTTAACTACATTTAGTATCAGCATATTGCCCTGCCTGACTTCAAAATCCTATTGGCTATCCTTGCTTCTCTAAGCATGCATGGTTTTGTATTCCTGTTTAATCTTTCACAGGTTTTCCTGATTAGGCCATTCCCACCCATATTCTTATCTAATTAAGAACTTTGTATTTGGTGCCTAAATATTCAAACCCAAGTATCTTAATAAGTAACTATTATCACTTGCTGAGGTCAACAAAATGTAGAGGTGCTCAACATCTCTAAAAAATCAAGTCACTTCTGTGTATGGATTTATGGATTGCGCTATTGAGATGCAGACAGCAGTTGCCTTGACTAGTTATCTCTGCATTTGAAGTCCACATTTAAAGTTAAAAAAATGCTGCTATCCCACTGATACCCAGAAAGAGTAATGATTCTAGTTTGGCAAAACACTGCCAAAATGATTTTTAAAACAAATATCTTTGTATTCATAAATTTTAACTTATCCTCTAAAGGTTCTGCAAGTCCACTCTCCAAGTGCTTATACTTAAGGCCAAATGAGTCCAAGGGTCCACGTTTTATTTAGATAATAGCAAGTTTCTGAGTTAAGATAAATAAAATAATTGACACCTTTTGGCGATATTTTCAGGGTTTCCTTTGAGTGAGACAGACATTGGCCTGTCAGGTTTGAAAGCATCTTTCAAGCTTTTCTGTGTATCCATAGGAATAAGAGCAAAAGGAAAGAGGGAGCAGCAAAAGCTGAGGTTCTTGTATTGTAATGTAACTCCAGGGCCAGCAGTGCCAAGGATAGGACTATAAAGCCAATGCGTAAATCCAGACTTGGTCACACTAGATTCCTTTACATACCTGGTCAAAATGGGTATGTGAGTTATCTTTATGCTGTAGATATCTTTCAGTTGCCTACAGACAAACTTAAAAAAAGCCAGGTTATTTGGAGTGTACAAGTCAGCTATGTTGCAAAATGAGCACTCTGAACTCACCTTCATTGAGAAATCTCTTTTGCCAATTCAGCAAAGGTCAGAAATATATAAAAAAAAAAAAAATCATTTTACTCATTTATTTCTGCTGGTTGTGCCTAAAATGGCTTTTCTTGTTTTTCTTGATCTCCAAGGAGAAACTGTGACATACAGCCCTGTGAGAAGTTATGATAACTTCAACTGAATAAGTGGCACAAGAGAACACTTACTACTTTTTTCTTTAGTTCTTTAGTTTTCTCTGGCAAAGTGATACAAGGAAAGCAGAGGCGTAATTTAATATGTTATGTGCCCTTGGGCTGCTTAGAGGTTGTGGGGGTGGGAGGGGAGTGGGTGCTTACCTCCTTGTGCAGGGGCTATGGCAGTGGCACAGGCTGCTGCTACCCTGGCACAAGCTCTTCCAGCATGGGCTGTTGGGGAGCACAGGCTCCCTGGGGGACTGCCATGCTGATCCCCTCTCTGAATCTGTGCCCAGGGCTGGTGCCCCAGTCATGCCCCTCTCCTACTGTTGGTACTGAAGGTATCAAGCCCCTTGCCTGAGTCTTAAACATTCTTTTTGGGGAAAAGAGAAGTTAGCTAAGCTGTTCTGAAGCTTTGCTAAAATATGACCTTGATTTCTTAAAGACAAATGGATATAAAAGGGGACAGAGGAGAATGACAAAGTGGAAAGTGCAGTTTCTGCCTCTGGTGTTGGTTCTGGAGAAACCAGAATCTTCTTGTCAGCTTCTCCATGTTCTGGCAAAGTTGCCCACTGTTTGATATTAAAGACACGGCTTTTAGCTACTTCCTTGGAAGTGGGTTTGCAGCAGTACTTCAGATGTCTTGGCAGGCTAAACCAGCCTTTTGTTAAAGGGAGATAGGAAAAAGAAAGAATCAGGTGGGAAAGAAAAAGTACATGTCTGGGTGAGAATAAGACTCTGTCTTGCTCCATAAGTGGTATTCAGCATTAGCTGTAGCTGGTGCATAGGAATGTCATCTGGAGCTTTATTTGGTGCAGATTAGGGTGCCTGTCAAGATCAGAGCAATGAAGACCCTGCAGAGCTCTGGTAGATCTCAGGATCCTGAGAGATGATGGGGATGGCAACCATAAAATTCATTCCTTGTATCTTATCTTTCTCCAGAGTTTTGACTTCCCCTAGAAGCTTTTATTAAGGGCCCTAAAAGATGGTGACAGGCAGAATTCTCATCCTCTCATTAGGTTGTCCACCAGTTAGATTTGACTTCCAACACTCCAGTTTTCTTCCATTCATTTTCATCCTCTCTCATCTACTGGTCATAAGAACATAGGACTGGAACAACGTTCCTTAGCCATTGAGTCCAGTTCTCTTTATTCACAGTTACCAAGTAATCCCAAAAATCATTACTTCAGACCCTCATACTACTGCAAGGCAACTACCCAAAATGTTACCACTGCCCTATAACATGTTATAGGTAAAAGCAGGGGATACAAGGACATTGCTAATACCCTGTCACTGCAACAGCAGAAATATAGTTGGTATCTATCTATCTATCTAGATAGATATCTCCTAAAAAAATGGCCATGCCCCATGCTACTGAAGAAAGCAAATCCTCCCATGCTAGGCATGCTAATGCTTCCTTACCCCATCAATATGTCTTTAAGCAGAAGAGTGGGACCCTTAAACCAGGATCCTCTGGATTTTCTAAGCATCAGAAGGAGAATTAGCACACTGCTTCCAGTCAACAGCCACTAACTTCAGCTGTGGCCAGCATCCCAATACTTTAAGGGAAAGTAAAAACCAACCAAAAAAAAAAAGCCCAGACCAGAAATGAGTAGTCTAAATGAAGGGGAGTAGATCAGGATCTCAACACAGACTTGAGATGGTAACAGTAGGACTCTTTGTTTAAATTAATTTAATCTCTCTCTCTTTTTGTTACTGTTTCTGAACAATTTTGTGTAATAGTCTGACCTGGACTTTTGTTAGCTCAGATAACAACAGAACTCTTTATTTAAGTGTCATCTTGGTTAAAATGAAATAGCAGGCTTACCTTCCAATAACATCAGGCATTTGTTCCTGGATGACAGTTTCAATAAGAGCTTTACTTGTCTTATGGTAGAAAAGGCCAGACTGTCCCACAGTTATCACTCCTGACTCATATTAAAGCTGGGTTACTCTCAACCTAGGAACCAAACCTATTATCAGGCTATAGCAACAGCCCCTCTTCTCTGCTGTGTAACTACCAGTATTTCATTAGAAATACTGCTTTAAGCTGTTGTTCAATTTTTGCTTTCTCTGTCAAAAAGCCACAGTAGTTTCATGGGAGTCTAGGGCTTCTGAAGTTAAAATGATGCATTTTGGTATACGCTTAAAATGCAGAATTGTCAGGAGCAGGAAATCCAGGGTGATCATCATGGAACCTGGTTTCCTCTGATTAAAAAAACCAAAACAAAAACCGAATTTTGGGGTTAAAAAAAAAGTAACCTAAAATCCAGTTTTGTGTGATCAAAATGAAACACCATTATATCTCTTTCTATATATATGTTTTAGTGGTGTTTCATTTTAATCATGGAAAAATGTGGATTTTGGGTTACTTTTTTTAACCAGAAAAATGGGGAATTTTTTTTATCACAGAAAACCAGGATCCCTGGTGATCATAGAGATAATGGTATATGACAAATGGTGAGTTCATCAATACTGCCTTGGACAGTAAAGAAAAGCAGGCACCCTTTGTTTTACCTACCTAATAATTAGCTCTGTCCTTAGGGAATTAAAATTGAAAACATGGAAATATGATATCTAGAAAGAGAGATCATATTGTATAGATGCAAACTGAGCACTACCTGCACTAAAGAGAAATGCAATATTGTTTCCTTTGCAAACAAGTATAGCTTTTCTTTAGCTATAATACAAGTTTTCTTGTAATACATCATGTACTTTGTGGCTGGCATGAATTTGTAAAAATAAAGGACTCAAGAGGGCAATTACTATTTTATGCTGTTTTTATTGCATCAGATTGTGCTGTTCCATAAATGAATGTATTCCTGTTTCTATAAATCATCTGTGAGATCTTAAAAATAGTTTACAGAAGTTCAGTAGCTGTTAAAAGTCTCCAACTTCTTATGGCCTAATCCTACTCTTGAAGCCAGTTAGTTTGCTTTAGACTTCAACAGGTGTAGGTTCAAACTTCTGGGGCATCAGCTGCCCCAGCATTTACTACTATCATTGTACTAGAGCTGATAGGAACCTAGAATAACTATTTGACAGGAAATGCATTTTTTTTTTAATATTCTCCATTGGAACTAAACCTTCTTTATCTTCAAAATGTTAGAATTTTGAAATTTACTGCAGGGAAGTGATTGAAGAATTTTGTTGTGAAGATACCAAAACAGCATTTTGACTTTTCACAATGAAATTGCTGTTGTTTCCCATGGTGCCTGGACACCCAAATACCCTGCTTCCAGATTCCTTGCTCCCTAAATCAAGTTTGGGTTGCCAGTGTTACCACAATCCTAACTTACTGCCATGATGGCTGCTGAGGAAGAAGGTGAACTGATAGGAAATCAGGTAGGTTTTCCTGGGAAGATTTAGAGAAATCAGAATATCCCCACAGAACATTTAATTTTATTGATTTTTTTTTTTTTTTTAGCAGAAAATCATTTTCTTAGAAAACCTTACCAGCTCTAGTTGCTAAACTAGACATGTGATAAACAAAAGAATGCAGGATTTCACCTTCTTGGTTATAAGTTGTGACAGGGCAAGCTTTCATGCCCAGTGCAAGCCCGGCCTGCCTCCTGTCTATGGGCTAGCCACCCACCTCACTCTCCTGCCACACCTTGATGTAATAGCTTTGGGATATTAATCAGGTGGGAAGCTGCCCATTTTGAACCCCGATGTTTAGGCAGCTGTCTACAGCTCCATTCTACCACTGCACTGCGGCCCAAGCCTCGCAGATGGCATCCACCAGTGGTTTGTACTGGGTCTTTCGTAAAACATACACACAGACAGACAAACAAACACATACTGGGCCCCAAGCCCTCAGCTCCCTCACTGGGGCTCCACACACTGCTCCCTCACTGGGACTCACTGGGGTCTGCCACCCCATCTGGCTCAGATGGCCATAGCCCTGCCTAGCCCCCACTCCTGGTTCCTGCATCCACAAGACTCACAAAGAGCCTGGGCACTGCTGCAGGTCCTTCTACTGACCTGGGCCCTGCCTCAGGAGTCCCATGAACCTGGGCTTCCCTTGGACTGATTGAACCCACCAGAGATGTAGGGGCTGGGATTATAAGGCACCCCACACTCATCTTTCACTGGGAAGTTGATTGGCCTGGCATTTCTTGGGGACTCCCCCACCACAGGGAGCCCCACCAGACC